CAGCTTAACGAATATTTATTTTCTCTTTTCCCTTTGGTCACCGTCGTTCTCCGATATTTAGGAGCACTAACGAATTATCCTTTGTTCTGTTCAGCATTCCTCCCCGCTCCAATATTCATCCCATCACCCCCTTGACTCACTCACCCCCACCTCTTCACCCCACCACCCCGTTTCACCCCTCCCTGACATCTCCCTGTCCCAGCTCTCCACTCCATGACCGAGGTCAGCCGTCGGCGGCGGCTCGGAGTCCGGACCGACCCTGGCTCGACGGGCCTGGCCGCCCTCCTTCATCCATCATAGAGAGCCGGCGGGGGGCCGGCCGATTCCCATCTCGCCCTGCCGACCGCCGCCGCGCGCCCTGTCCAAGAATTCGACAGGTGACACTGGGCCTGCGCCGGCTGGAACGCCGGGACAAACTTGCCGGACAGAGATAGACGTGGGGAATGCGAGGAGTGGGGACTCGGAAGGTTCGCGTCTAGGAAGGAAAGATTTGGTGTGCTTCTGCCGACTACTCTCAGTACATAAATGGGTGCGAACTTGCACGAGTTATTTTACAATGGTGCGTTACTTTATTGACTTCACCTATATTAGTGGGGCGCTCCCTGTTGGTGATGATGGAAATAAATAAATAAATAATTTGTGACCTAACCGCAGAAACCTGAGCTAGCCTTGTCTAGCCCAGCTACACAAGTGTTTCCGTGTCTGGTCTGGTAAATATCCGTGCCTGTTCTTTGGTCTGACGCCCATCCACCTCCTGTGGACTTTACTGTCCGCTGCCAACCAACACAGAGCTAGAACGAGCTTTGAACGCCCACATGACATGCATGTTGACCCCCGACTGCCCTGACCTGCTCTCGGCACGATACGACCGTCCCCACCACCCCCACCGCCCCCAACCGACCCCGACCGCTGCCGACCGACCCCAACCGCTGCCGACCGCTCCCAACGACCGGTAATGACCACTTCCGAGGGCCCGTGGCCTCTCACGGAGCCAGGATGGAGCCACAAAGCGCGATACGCCAGATGAGCGAAAATGTTATGCTCTCTGACAGTCCATCATGAGACATGAGGATATGGTATGCAAGGCTTGATAAATGGTTCGGGTATACAAATGCAGCTCACATCACAAATATGAATGTGAGATGCTCACACAGAAGTGGATAGTAACGCGTGAAAATCCCTTTTTTGATAAAGTCTTGACGGCTTCTAACCACACTGAGTTGAAGAATATCTGAAGAAGCTCACGTGGAAAAGATACAAACCGTTCCGACGGCAGCCCGGGGCTTTACAGACTCGGCGAGTCGCCCCATGTCAATCTCGACGGCGTCGGTAACGGCGACGGTGACGGTGGCAGCGGCGGCGGTGACGAGCCGTCTCTAATGGCCCTTCCCTGGCGCGCAGGGCGACGGAGGCTCACCGGCTCAGTGGCTGGCCGGTCCATTTCGCCGCGCCGCCCCCCGATGAGCCGTGTCTCTGTGTGTCCGTCTGTGTGTCGGCGGGGCCGGTGGCTCAGTGGGGACAGTGGGGACTCTGGGGAGCGGCGGGGAGGATTCTGGCAGGCAGGTCACGCCCCACTGGCCCCTCGGGTCCACCGGACGTTCTGGCCGCCGTCAGCTAGCCCAGCTCATTTGTCTCCGTGGCCACTGGGGAGGCCGCGCGCGATTAACGCCCAAACGTCACCGACGGACGTGACGTCACGTATTCCTGTGACGTCACTAGACCACTGTGGCGTCATCAGACTCATAGGACATCCCAAGTGACTGGCCGGTGGGCGGTGTGGCCCCTCTGGCGTCACAACCGTGACCCATCGGTTGTATTTTTGGACGGCGCCGCGTCGGACGGTGGTGCGCTCGACCGCCCGCCCCCGCTGCCCCAGCGGTGACCTCTGGTGCCCTTCGATGACGAGCGCCGACCCCGCATTGTCTGCCACCGCGGCCTGTCCTGCGCCGTGTGCCTGTCTCGCCGACCCCGCCTGTCGACCTGTCTGCCTGTCGGGCTGTCGGCCTGTCGGACCCACCGCCCGCTGACCGTCGGCCACCCCCCGCCGGCCGGTCGACACCAAGCCCGATTTGGCCTGTTTGGAGAAGCGAGCGGCGTTCAAAACGAGCGAGACGGCCCGCGAACGACCCACCCAACCGGCGGGGGTCCTCTTGGAGACGGTCCGGCAGCCAGAAATGACCGTCGGTCGCCCCAGGGCAGCGGCGACAGACCGGAAGCGGCGAGGTGGCCGGGCAGAAGGCGCCGGATATGGCTGTCCGGAAGCGGCACCCGGCGACACAGACAGCCGCGACGGCATCGGCGGGCGACGACGAGCGATGAAAAACAGTAACGATCCGCACGCGCGGTGGCAGCGGGGGTCACTGAAGGCAGAGCGGCGGCGCAGGGAGGGATGTACAGAGAGAGTGATGAGTCGGAGGATAGAAAGGTGGCGTATGCCTTTGATCTGTTATTTTACGTCATTGATGATCGGTTATTCTTATCTAAGAAAAAAAAATAATCGTTATTCGGGGCATTTTCCGTTTGACGCGTCGAGCAATGTGTTCCTCCTCAGCTACTTGACTTCAGGTGCCATTTATAGGTGAAATTAGCATGCATTAATGAATTATTTAAAGGGAAGAGAAAGAATGAGAGAAAAATAAAAAGGGAGAGAGCAAAGAGCGCGCGGGAAAAGGAGAAACGGAAGAGAGTAGACCAGAGAAAATCCAAGCTGGAGGAGCATATTTAAGCCGTCGGATTTGAAACAATGAAATGAAATGACGACCCACTGAGTGAAAGATCAGGCGGCGCCGGCCGACGGGACCGCTGGGAGTGAGACCGGCCCTGTAAATGTTTGAGGGCCGCCGGCGCGGCGCGATGTCGGCTGTTCCGGCCGGCCGGCGCGCCGCCAGTCTTCATTTGGCCGCTGACGGACACCGCTGGCGGTCGTCCCCCGGCGACCAGCGCCCGATTGAACGCCGCCGGAAGGGGTAGATGGCGAAACCGTGTCGCGCGTTAGTTAAACTGATGCCATCGGGCGAGCCTGTCCGGCCGATCTGGTGTGCAGGCGGGGAGCGACACGTCACAGCGGTAATTTGCTGTGATAATGTTGTCCGGGAGCTGCGCAAATGTGATGTTCAAAGCGGCAGCGGAACAGAGACAGCTGAAACCGGTGATGGGCACGGTGCACTCAACTCTGACGATAATTGATATCATGCACTTCCGTACTTCACGGTCATGTGTGAAGTACGGCATCTGATGTGCCATGCTCAGTACTTGGTCACTATCAAACAACGGATTTCAGTCTGACGTTTGAGTGGGTCTAAACTGGGTGGAGCCAGTCCGCCCCCATCCCGCCCGTATGGGTAACCACAACAACGAAACCCGCCCCTGACGCCTCCACCTTTTTGCGAAACCTGACCGCTCGATTACGAATGCATTGTTTGTCCCTCGGGGCTAGCCCACGGGCCGACGGGCTGACTGAGGTGGCCAGGCAACGCACATGCTCCAAATTGAATTAACGTGTATGAGATTGGAACGTTTTGTGGGCGCGGAAGGTCAAACGGTCAGGACAGCGAGAAGCAGGAATCGGTGGTGTCATGGTCTACTCCTGCGCCGCCGGGGGGCCTCTAACGGGCTCATCTACCGATCAACCGGCCCACATCCCAAACGGCTGAGAAGGGGTGGGGAGGTGTTTGGGCAGCCCCCGAGAGCCGGCTGGCATAACACCGTCGGACGCGCCGAGCGATCGCCACACGAGCGTAGATCACGGTCTCGATCAATCTGGCCGAGTGGCTTGGCGGCCGGCGCCGGATATTAATCTCAGCTTTAATCGGTGACAGACTGGCTGGCAGGCGTGAGACGGTCAGTCACGTAACTTACCGAGATGGACCAGACGGTCGTGCTGGGGTTCATCTCTGGACTCACTCCATGAAAATTGGATGGAACTCGGTAGCCTCGAGAGGTTACTCATGGGTTTTTGGTATGGATTGTGTGTCAGAGCGTAATTTGGGGGGGATGATTACATGGTTACACCAGCGATTAATTACGTGATCTTTCTAGTTTCCTTGTGTTTACCTTGGAAGTTGACCGTATGACCTTTTCCTGATATCTTAGTTGGTGGGTATAAGTTCCTCACACCAGGATTACCAAGCGGAGAGCACACTTGCCTACGGCACATGTCGTAAAGGTTGCGTGTTCATTTTTGGACTCTTCTAACCTAATCATAGGGTTAATTAAACAACGAACTAAAGTCGCTCCTATCTTCTGGTCTTGTAAGGTTTTCTGATCCTACATTTTATCAGCAGTTCAATCAGCATGGTTTCCACTTTCATTTAGCTTCGATTGTCCCCGCTACTATTCGTTGTCCCTCAGACGACCTTCATTGCTTCTATCAGCATCCCTCTCCAAATGTCTACGTTTCTACTTCTTGTCACCTTTGTCTTTTTCTTTGTTTCCGGCTGTTTGCACATCATGTAACCGCTCTTCCTCCGCCTGTCTGCGCTTGTCTCCGTCTCTCTCCGTGTGTCTCCGTCGGTCTCCACCGATCTCCACTGCTCTCTGCTGCCCAGTGCCCACCAGTCGGCTAGTTGATGATGCGCGCTGTGCCTCCGCCGGCCGGCTGGCCTGCCTAGCGCGCGCCGTATTGATTCATTAGGCGACCTCTCCGGAGATGGGGCCGGAATGGCCGTCGCCTCCGCCACCGGATGGTCGCGGCCTGCCGACAAAAACACCTCTCTCCAGGACGGCGGCGACGGTAAAAATGGCCGGCCGGAGAGCGGTGGAGGCCGAGATGGAGCTGACGGAAAGAGCACGCGCGGAGCCGGATCGGTACCAACTGAGCTGGGTCTAAAGACAGACTCGGGACAAAAAAAAAGTTACTCAGCGTATTAGCGAGTTTGTGATTGAGTTTAGCTGTTGCATGTTACGTAAAATGTGTGAAATAGCATTAAAAGCTGAGTTAGTTATGTGCGGGGAAGGCTTAGCTGGATCAGGTCTCTAATGTACTTTTGTTTTTGTTTCAGAGCCCGGATCGTACGTGTGCTTCACCTGCAAGAAAGGCTTCGACTCGGCGTGGCTGCTGGTGCAGCATGTCCAGGAAGACCACGGCGTCAACATCTACGAGAACCACTCGGCGGCAGCCTGCCGGGCTCCCACTCCGTCCCCTCCTCCGCCGCGCCGGAGATCGCCCTCCCCGCGCCGCTCGTCGCCTCCTCCGCGGCAACCGTCGCCGCCGCGGTGTGCGCCAGAGCCGGCCCCTCCGCCGCCGCCGCCGCCCCCGCTGCCGCCCGTCTCCACGCGTCTGGCACCCACCTCCTCCACACACGCCGGCTTCGAGCTGCCGTTCCTGAGGATGCCGCTCGGCGCCGACAAGCCGTTCCCCTCCATGCTGAACGCGCCGTTCAGCCGGCCACCTAGTCACAACTTCCGCATGGAGAACATCATCTCAGAGCAGTTCCGGCTGAGCGCGCCGCTATCGATGCCGCCATTTGACCTCGGCCCGCGGCCGCGGCCGCCGCTTTCCCTCCCCATGGAGCCGCTGGACTTTTACTCGCAGCGGCTGCGGCAGCTGGCGGGCGCCTCGCTACCAACTGCTGCCGACCTCCTCACACCGCCGGCCAAGCGGGCTCGCGTCTCGCCGCCGCCCTTCGGCTCTCCGGCCGGACCGAGCACGTCCAGTCCGAGCCCCGTGGCACAGCCACCGGCAGCTGCCCCGCGCACCGGTCCGCCAAAGGCAGCCCGCAAGGAGCGGCCCCGCGCCTGCGAACACTGTCACAAGGTGTTCCGGTTCCAGAGTAACCTGATCGTGCACCGGCGCATCCACACCGGTGAGAAGCCGTACAAGTGCAAGATCTGCAGCCACGCATGCACGCAGAGCAGCAAACTGAAGCGGCACATGAAGACGCACATGAAGGAACTCGAACTCAGTGTGGAAAAAAACTCGCAGGCCAGCGATGATGTCAAGGATGAGGACGACGACGCCAGCGTCCAGGAGGAAGAGGAAGAAGAGGAGCTCCTGGATGAACGGCGAGGACTCTTCCGTCACGGCTGAGGTGGATGGGCCGGAGGATCTGTCGACCAAGTCGACCACCTCCACGCCGGTGCCGGCTCCGCTCACCCCCAACAACAACCTGCCGCCGACTCCATCGTCGGAAAAATCATCGCTGGTCGGAGAATTGATGGACAAATTTGGACTCTCAAACATCAACACCTACAGGGATGCGTACAAGCAGCGCTACGCGAATCGGGAAAGGACGAAGACCCCCTGAGCGACAGCAATCATAGTGATGACGAACTGCTTGACAGCGAAACACACGATAGCGAGACGAGAGATAGCGACGGCCGCGACAGCGAAATACCCGATAGCGACGCCATGGATAGCGAGGCGCCCGCTAGCGAAACGCGAGAGAGCGACGCACAGGGCGGCGAAACGCGAGGCAGCGAGACTCGCGACGGAGAGTCGCGTTTCGGAGAGTCTCGCGAAGGAGAGTCGCGACGAGAGAATGGCGCCGCTAGGGACGGCGAGGCGCGGTCGGGAGAGGCACGGGACTCAGCGCCGGAGGGCGAGGCGGCGGAGCGGACCGAGCGAAGCACCATCAAAGTGCGGGACGAGTTCGGAGCCGGTCTTATGGGCCACCAGCCGGCGCTGGACCTCAGTCGCGGCTCGCTGCTCGGGCTGGAAGCCGCCTTCGACCCGGCCCGCCGCCTGAAGCTGGACCTGGCTGGTCGGGAACCCGACACCGGCATGCCGACCTGGCCCTCGGGGCTCTGGCTGCCGCCGATGGCCATGTCGCGAGAGTTCCCCTTCCCGCCGCGCTCAGCTCCCGACTTCCTCAGTCACGCCAAGGCCGCCTCCGAGGGTGCCCTGAAAGCGGCCCAGCGGCCCCTGCACGCGCCGTTCGCTCCCAAGCCGGGCAGCCGCATCGGTCTCGACTCGCCGTCACCCAAACGGGAGCGTAGCCGCCGCGACACTTGCGAGTTCTGTGGGAAGGTGTTCAAAAACTGTTCTAACCTTACAGTCCACAGGCGCTCGCACACAGGTGAAAAGCCCTACCACTGCACCATGTGCAACTACGCCTGTGCGCAGAGCAGCAAGCTCACGCGGCACATGAAAACCCACGGGCGCATGGGCAAGGACGTTTATCAGTGCCGATTCTGCACGATGCCCTTCTCTGTGGCCTCGACCCTGGAGAAGCACATGCGGAAGTGTGTGGTCAGAACAATAAGACGGGCCTGCTGCCGCCGGTGCTGCCCGGTCACTGACGTCCGCTCCCGTCCGCCAATGGCGAGCGTCCGTGGCTGTGACGTCACCCGGGCAGCGCGGTGACCCGGTCAGTGTCGTGGCCCGGGCAGTGCCGCCGCCGTTTTGTATCAGGCCTAGTGCAATCATCGCTCAGCCGATGTTAACTAGTGAAATGACATGACATAATCCATTGCGTGTGCGTGTGCTGGTAAAGTACAATTCTCCAGTAT